TTCAGAAGTGGGTGGCCAATCCTTCTTCCTAGTCTGTCTTAATCTGAATGTTCAGATTTAGAGGAGTATCTGACAGACAGTCAGGAAATCAAAAGATGTGTTGCATTGGGGAAATCTTCTTTAAGGAATTCCACAATGGTTCAAAGAACAAGGATGTCAGTTTAAAGACTAAGTTATCCCTGACACAAGCCATGGTATTTTCACTTGCTTCCTATGCATCTGGAACTTAGATAATAAAAGTGAAGAACTAGTGCCTTTGAATCATGGTGTTGCAGACACGTACTGAACAGCCCATGGATTTCTGAAAGTATTTCTTGGAGGAAATGTAAACAAGGTACTCCTTAGAAGCAAGGAAGGTGAAGCTGCTTCTCACATATTTTGGGCATGGTATCAGGAGTGACAAGGTTGGTGAAAGACAGGAAGACTGTCAATGTGACAGACTAACGCAATGATTACCATAACAGGTGTGAACATGACAGAGTTCTTGTGGACATTGTAGGATAGGGTGATTATGTTCTTAGGGTGATCATGAGTTCTTGTAAAGTTGAGAGAACCTAACAATAATTCTCTTAACTTTAATGTGTTACGTTGTATATTCTTCTAACCTATTCATTGTGTTTTAAGTTTTTTCACCTTACATAGATCCACGTAGGCAAGTATGGTGTGGTAGTAAAGGTTTATTGATCAAAATGGCTTCCTTAGCCATTGAGTAACTTTGCTCTGTGGATGGGTGAGAGTACGTGAAAAGGAAGTGTTAGTCTATTCACAAGGGGACTGGTTAGTCAATCCAAGCCACAAAGAGATTGGCTAGGCTTGTCACTAAATTGAGGGGATCTAGCAGCAGAATTGAGAACCTCACTACCAGCAAAGAAGCAGCAAGAGAATGCAGTGCATCCTTCATGGCCGGAGATTCTTATGCTAGCCAGCCCAGGTCAAAGCTCCCTACTAGTATGCATATTCCTGCCTAAAGAGTACTTATACCTTGTCGCCTTTTAAAAAAATTTGTCTTCCTTTTTCCTGACATTTAACTTTCTATGCTGTTGTTATGTGCCGTCGAGTCTTTTGCGACTCACAGCGACCCTATGGACAACAGCCCTAAACCCTGCTCTATCCTGTGCCAATCTCTTTGCCTCTGACACACCCATCCCGATTACCCCAGTCACTGAATCAATCCGCCTCATAGAGGGTCTTCCCCTCCTGCGCTGTCCCTCTACTCTACCCAGCATGATGTCCCTCTCTAAAGACCTGTGAATACACCAAACTTCTGCTCTTTATTTATTAATAATTGGAAAATACAGTCACTGTTTCCTGACTTTGAGATCCATCCCCAAGTCTCAAGATGGAACCATCCATCCACCCCCCCAGGATCGCAGGGCTGGCCTTTGTTACACTGGATTCAGAAACTTGGTTGAGACCAACTCATAGCTGAAGGTCCAGATGATTTTCAAAGGTAATAAAGTGGAGCGCGTGTTCTTTCTCCCCCGAACAGGGTTGATTCAAACCCGTGGTTTTGTGTTGACCGCGCAACTCTTTTACTCTGAGTCCACCAGTTATGTTTTATATTACATATTACACACAACTCCTGAATTCTGAGGGCGTAGTTTTCTGTATATATTATTTATTTTAGTGCTGCCAATAGCAGTTGAAGGCTTAGTCTGTGACGACAGGGTAGGAGCACAGAGCTCAAAGTCTGAGGCTCGCCCTTTTGGAAGGGTGCCTTGTTCTCCTGGCAGAGAAACCTTCGCGCTGCAGGCTTGGCGGAGGAGGGAGCTGGCGGGGGCTGGCCGCCGAGGACGCAGATTCCCTGCGCTCGGGCCCGGGCTGCGCGCGGTTCCGCCTCGCTCGCCGGGGAGCCGGACACGCCTTCCTCCCCGCCGTCCACCCAGGACGCAGTGGGAACTGGGCGGGGGGCGGGACCAATTGTCTGTTTCTTCAATCGGACAATAAAGTTTCCAAAGTTTGAAAAGCAGAAAAAAGCCCACCACGCCCCTCCAGTGTGGAACCCTGCGGGGCGAGGTAGATCTCGGGTCGTCTTGTGCTCCCGGAGACGTGGTTGGCGCGCAGGTCGGCGGAGCGAGTATGGTGGTCCCGGTGGACGTGTACCAGGTGTACAAGTACCCCTTCGAGCAGGTGGTTTCCAGCTATCTCCGAAAGGTACCTGTCCCCTCTCTGGCAGTCCTGGGCATGGGGGCTCGCTCTTTCTGCACTCTGCTGCCCCAGCCATCTGCGCTCTTGCAGTTCTTGCCTCTCTTTCTCTGTCCACGCGGAGACTCCTACCCATGTTCCCGCTCCAGTGGCAAGTTCGCCTTAAGAGATGCCTGGGACCAGGAGGAAAGTTGTATTTCCTCGAAAGCTTCCCAGCTGGGATCAGGGAGAAGGCACCGTGCGTATCATCACGTTTACACAAACTCCATCTGAAGGGCGTGGTTTTCGGGGAACAATTTGGGGACCCAAGGACCAGCAAGTCTCTTGTACTTTCAATTAGATTTCTGACCCCTTAAAAACTAGTAGAGGCAGTTGAAACCATCATGGTTTATTAAGCATTTTTAATTCTTCACCACTTTTTCTTTCAGTAAACAGCTCTGGGACTTTGAGGCTTTTATCTCTGTGTGCATAACTTCTGCATCATATAAAATGAAGAAGTATTGTACTAACCCATGGAGTTGTGAGGATTCAAGTGAGATAATTCATGTAACGAGCTTCACTTAGTAGATAACTGATATTTAGTATGTTGTTAATATATACAGTATACAGTCGCATTGGAACCCATTTAAAGCTGACCGCACCCCACCCCTGATTTTAAGAAACAGTAACTCGCACGAGAGGAGATTGCCCACCTTCTTCCGCAGAGCAGATTGTGGATTCGAACCCCCGGGTGCCTTCTACTTTTGATCTAGCTCTAAAGTAGTATTGTTGTTTTTCATACTACTATGAAAGGCATAAGGAGCAGGTAGCGTGGTGCGTTCTGCTTAGATTGCTAACTGAAAGATTGGCTGTTGCAGCCCATAGTCAGTCTGCAGAGAAAGATGAGCATTCTTCTGTAAAGATTTACATCTTGAAACCGTGGGAGAAGATTGCTATGAGCCCATTGGATGACACTGGGACCCTGTTACTCAAGTGTGCACCCTAGCTAGGCTCTTTGAGGTCAATGGCTACTTCTGACACATAGCTTATGGCATTGGAAGGTTGAGAAATTGAAAAATAAAAAGTGGTTAAGTCTGGGAGGTGAGACCCCAGCATTCTCTCGAGGCTCTGCCATTCACTGCATGATCTTGGTCAGGGGTTGATGCGTGTCTGTCAAGTTGGAACTGACTTAGAGAGCTGACCTTTTAATGGATTTCCCAGGCTGTTAACTAGCTCAATTAACATTTTTCTCCTGCTGTGTTGCTGGTGGATTTGAACCACTGGAGAAGAGAGGCCTTTGGGTTAGCAGTGCAATTCCCTATGAGTTAGGCCATCAAAGCTCCCTAGTGTTGCTATAGAGGTCTTGGGGTGTGATACCAGCTTTGTAAATTGGGAACTTGTTTATATTGTTGATCCCCAGTATCTAGAATCATGTCTTGCATTTACCCTAGGCTCAGTAAAAATAGGTCAAGTGTCAATTATTAGGTGTCTTCACATTGGCTCTGACTCCTAATGACCCCTATATGTAGACAAATAGTGCCTGGTCTTGTGCCATGTCTTTGACGGTTTGCCCCATTTTCTCTGATCCTCTAATTTTCCGACATGTTGACCTTCTCCTGAGACCTCCTTATAACAACTGGCCAGAGGATGCATTACAATTCCAAGCTTCACTATCCATGCAACTATGGAGCATTCAGGCTGTGCTGCTTCCAAGACAGATCGTTTTTTGGCAGTCCAGTGTAATGTATTCAGTTTTCTTCAGCAACACAGTAATTCAAAAGTATCAGGTCGTCTTCAGCCTTCCCTATTTATTGTCCAATTTTCTCATGCGTAGGAGGTATAGTCTCCTTAGTGACATCTTGCTTTTTAACATTTTACAGAAGTCTTCTGTAGCAGATTTGCCCAGAACAATAGGCCATTTGGTTTCTTTTTTTTAATTTTTATTTTTTTTTATTTTGTGTGCGTGTACCGTCAAATCAGATCTGACTGGTACAGGAGGATATTGCGCCTCCTTCTCCGGCAGAGCATCTGGTGGATTCGAACCGTGTTCCTCTGGGATTGCAGTGCAGCTTCTTGCCACTAGGCCATCAGAGCTCCCGCCATTTGGTTTCTTGACTCTTGCTTCCATAGCTGTTGTTAACTGTAGAACTAAATCCTTGATAACTTCAGTATTTCTCCCATTATCGTAAGCTAGGGAGCTCTGACAGTGAAGTCCATACGGGGATTCACTACTGACACAAAGGTGGAGCCTCTCTGGCTATTCCAATCCACCAATGGCTCCTTGGAAGAAAGAGGGGCTGTCTCCTGCCTTCTGATTTACAGCCTTCTGAAAACCCATTGGAATGGTCAGCAATGAGTTGGTTCTGACTTGATGGCAATGACAGAGAGACAGAGATCATAATGTTTCTTATTGCATAAAGGATTTTTGTTTTGAGTTGTAATCCATCATGAAGGCTATAATTTGAATCTCTATGGGTATATACAGGGTTAGATTTTACTTTAGACCAGGCTTCTAGGCCTCCAGAAGAAGCATTCACTACTCTTAGCTTTTTCAAGGTCTGGCCCTTCGGCATGTGAGTTTCCTAATGCCATTTCTCCTTTAAAGGCTTTCTTTATTGCCCTAATCAGGAAGTAACTCCTCCTCAGAACTCTCAGGTTTAGGCTTCTGTAGTGCCATGAATTACTTGGTATGGCCCTTCTAGCCAATATATTGTTATTATGTGCTGTTAGTTAGAACCTACTCATCATAAGCTAGGGAGCTCTGGCAGTGTAGTCCATGGTGGGGGGTTCACTACTAACTCAGCCAATTTTTATTTACAAAATTTGAATACATTGTTTTTCACAAAATATCCTTCCCATTTCCTTCACCACACCCATCTATCAAATTGTGCAACCTTTTGATTAACACCCTACCCTCCCAGCCACAACCTTCTATTTATACCCACCCAGCTGGGTTCTCATACTCATTCTGTAGTAATGGTTTTTATATGATATTTGTCCTTGTGGAACTGAGTTCACTCAGAATAACGCTCTCCAGTCCTTCCCAAGTTCGTAATTTACAAAAGCATTGCTCCTACATGCTGCATCGTAACGTACCACAGTTTCTCAATCCATTTATTTGTGGTTGAACATCTAGGCTGTTTCATGTTCTTGTGATGGTAATTACAGCCAATTTTTGGAGGCTGTACAACACAGAAGGAGAATGCCCATCTTCATTTCTTCCTGCAGGACAGCTGGTGGATTTGAACCATGTATGTGCCTTTTGGTTGGTAGCACAACTCCTTCCCATTAGGGCGTTTTATGATGTGTTGTAAGTCCTGGCTTCAACGCCTGTGGTCTCATTTTGGAGTGAGTTGTCTGTTTATAAGGAAGGATTAGGGTGAGGTGTATCCTGAATATCTTTGTCACTGTTGTTATATGCCCTTAAGTTGGAATCAACTAGGTACTCACAACTCCATCATTCCACCCTTATTCACACTACCTCTTTTTACCACCACTCTGAAATCATGCCCTTGCTTTTTGTAATTGTTAGGTGCCATTGAGTCAAATATAACTCGTTGTAACCTAGTAAACAACAGATCTGAACTCTGCCCTATCCTGCATCGTCATCATCATCATTTCTGACACACTTGAGCCCATTGTTGCAGTCACTGTGTCTGTCAATCCCAACTAGTTGAGGTTTCTTTTCCCGTCTTTACTATCTTTTCAAGCATGATGTCCTTCTCCTAGACATAGCCTCTCCTAACAACAAACCCATGTTGTTGTGTGCTATTGAGTTAGTACTTACCCATAGGTGATTGTCCAGTGGGGTTTCAGAGGCAGTAAATCACGCAAGAAGAAATTGCCCATCCTTCTTTCTCAGAGCAGCTGTGAATTCAGACTGTGTGCCCTTGGGACTCTAGTGTAGTTTCTAACTCCTAGGCCACCAGAACTCCCATCATGATAGATGGAGAAAAGATTTAGACTGTCAATGACTTCATCTTATTTGGATCCACAATCAGTACACTTGGTATCAGTAGTCTGGAGATAAGGAGACATGTTACACTGGAAAAATGCAGTCAGGGACCTCCAAATTATTGAGGAGCAGTGAAGTCAGTGTAATTACTAAGGTGCACCAGATTCAAGCTGTGGTCTTTACAGTCACTTGGTATTCATCTGAGAGCTGGACAATGAGTAAGGATGACAGAAGATTGAAGCCTTTGAACTATGGTGTTGGAGAAGAGTGCTGAATATCCCATGGACTGCCAAAGAAAAAACAGATACATCTTGGAGAATGTGCAGCCAGAGTGCTGCTACTTGGAGGCAAAGATGATGTAAGTTTTCACATACGTTAGGCATGTTATTATGAGAGGTTATTCTTTGGAGAGAGAGAGTGAGAGATATGGAGGCAAAGATGATGTAGGTTTTCACATACTTTAGGCATGTTATTAGGAGAGGTTATTCCTTGGAGAGAGAGAGAGAGAGACAGACAGACAGACATCATACTTGGAAAGTGGAGGGCCAGAGAAGGAGAGGAAGACCTTCAGCGATGTGTATAAACACGGTGACTGCAGCAGTGGGCTTGAGTGTGTCAGATTGAGAGAATGGCACCAGATAGGATAGGGTTCAAATCAGTTATTCGTAGGATCCTTATAAGTCGTGCTCAACTGGAGGGCATCTAACAACAACAACAACAACAACAACATACCCAAAGTATGTTAGATGAAGCTTTGTCATTTTTACTTCCAAGGAGCACTATGGCTGCACTTTTTCCAAGGTGTATCTGTTTGTTCTTTTGGCAGTCCACAGATCTTTTTTTTCCTTTTATACCTTTGAATCGAAACCGACCCATAGGTAATTTTGAGAGGTCCATGACTGTAAATTTTGCCAATACAGTATGTTTCCTTATTTCCTGATTGCAAAGAAACACTACATAGTTTATAATTAAGAAAGGTATGCATCAGGGTTGTATTCTTTCTCCATAACTATTCAATCTGTATGTGGAGCAAATCATTCAAGGAGCTACACTATGAAAAAGAATGTGGCATTAG